CCCTCTATCTTCTTCAAACACATCACCATCTTTCACTAACCTACGAGTGAAATGGTATTGTCTTCTGTATTTTCTCCTTAAATGATAGACCAAGTTCCTTCGCCAACTGTTTGACACTCTGACTATCTCTGTAAAGAATATCTTCGTGCTACTTCTTGCCCATTCTTTCAGATAGTCAGTCATCCATATCGTCTTCTTTTCAGCTTCAACCATTGCCACGTACTCAGCCTCAGTACAACGCATTTTTGAAGCCTAGACGTCTCATCATCCATGGCTTGCTCCCACTTGGTTGTATCCTCCAACTGTAGGGCCTCATCAAAGGGTTGTGGTTCCCTTTCATCAGCAACAGATAGTGTAATGAAGGTACATGCATATCTAGTACTCTGATAGTACAGGATGATCTTCTCAACACCAGTTCAAGTGTCACTTGCTCCACTGCTGATTCCTCCGCAACAACCTCAGGAGTTTGTTGAGTATCTGCTACAAAATCACTTGGTGATTTTCTCCGCAACTCAACCTCAACTCCCACTTGCTTTGTTGTCTTGGAACCTTGCTCCACATCTGGTTCCTCAGCAGTAGTGATATGAACCAAGAGACATCAATCATACAATATGCTTCAATGAAGATGTGGAGAAAAGGTTATCAAAATAATCAAAAGATGTTTCAATTCATGCTACATTGAAGAAGAATAAAGTTTGATTGTTGTAAATTTTGGGTGGGTTATAATTTAGAGTTATTGTGTTTTAAGACTTTTTATTTAATTTCGGTTACATTTACATAATGGCTAATTATGGCCATAAAGTGTGAATGTTACAACTTTTGGAATGCCTTTAATAGTTTCATTTTGAGGCTATATAAAGCCATCTATGTTGTATTTGTAATAAGACTTAGAAGATATATCAAAAGAAGCATTTGTGCTTTTCTTTAGCCAATGGCTAAGTTTCTTTGCAACTCTATGTAGTTTAGGTTGCATGTAGAATCATTCAAGCTCGATATGATCAATCTTGCTTGTGGAGTGATTCGAATCTCAAACAAGTGTTCTTGTCTTGAGATATTTGATCAACAAGAATCATTGAAGCTAGACATGATCGATCTTGCTTCTGGAGTGATTCGAATCTCAAACAAAGTGTTCTTGACTTGAGATATTCGATCGACAAGGTAATCCGAATCTTATTCCCCTTGTATTGATTCCTTATCTTATCATTTGGTATCAGAGCTTCAGGCTCAAGATCGGATATATGTTTCCTTTGCGTTTCTTCTCAATTTAATTTTTATTTATTTTCATCTTTTTAGTTTTTAATCGACCCAAAGTTCAAAATTCAATCTTTGCTCTATTTAAAATTTTGAGAGGTGAGAATGAGAGCTTCATTTGTGTAAATGAGTGCAAACAGAGTGGCCTAAAATTCCTTGAGTGTATACACGTGAGAGAGTGTTGTGAGGTCCTTTGTATTTCCATAACTTATTTTTTGCAGCAAAGTTTCACAAATAGATTCGAGGACGAATCCTCTTGAAGAAGTGGAGAATGATATGAACCAAGAGACATCAATCATACAATATGCTTCAATGAAGATGTGGAGAAAAGGTTATCAAAATAATCAAAAGATGTTTCAATTCATGCTACATTGAAGAAGAATAAAGTTTGATTGTTGTAAATTTTGGGTGGGTTATAATTTAGAGTTATTGTGTTTTAAGACTTTTTATTTAATTTCGGTTACATTTACATAATGGCTAATTATGGCCATAAAGTGTGAATGTTACAACTTTTGGAATGCCTTTAATAGTTTCATTTTGAGGCTATATAAAGCCATCTATGTTGTATTTGTAATAAGACTTAGAAGATATATCAAAAGAAGCATTTGTGCTTTTCTTTAGCCAATGGCTAAGTTTCTTTGCAACTCTATGTAGTTTAGGTTGCATGTAGAATCATTCAAGCTCGATATGATCAATCTTGCTTGTGGAGTGATTCGAATCTCAAACAAGTGTTTGAGATATTTGATCAACAAGAATCATTGAAGCTAGACATGATCGATCTTGCTTCTGGAGTGATTCGAATCTCAAACAAAGTGTTCTTGACTTGAGATATTCGATCGACAAGGTAATCCGAATCTTATTCCCCTTGTATTGATTCCTTATCTTATCAAGTAGTCTCAGGAGTTTCTTGAGTATCAGCTACAACATCACTAGGTGAGGTTCCGTGCAACTCAAGCTCAACTCCCACTTGTTTCGTGGTCTTGGAACCTTGCTCCACATCTGGTTCCATTTCCAACCACACTTTCTTCAATTTTCTGGCGGTCCTTGTGAAGCTAACTCGTTTCTGCTTGCTCATAACGTAGTTCTCACAACGACCCACATCAACGGATTTCAGACCTTCTAAAACTCCTTTCGCAGCCAGCCTCTTCATTCCTTTCGCGCTCATAGGTTCAAGTCTATTGTGCTGTAGACTTGAATTTGAAGCACTCTCAGCAACAGCAGCTATGTTCATACACCCTGCAATGGTGTATAGGGTTCCAGATTTTGAGCCACGTGCTACTACCGTAGCACCCTTCATAATCTTCCACGAACCCTTCTCTAACTTTGTTGCATAACCTGTGCTATCCAACTGACCAATAGAGATCAAGTTTCTTTTGAGAGCAGGAATATATCTAACATCCTTTAATGTCCACTGATTTCCTGCCGGAGTTTTTATGCAGACATCTTCTTTTTCTTTAATCTCCAAATCTTTGTTGTCGGCAAGATACACCTTCTCGAAATTTCCAGACTTGAAATTTCGGAACAACTCTTTATTTGGAGACGAATGAAAAGATGCACCTGAATCCAAAATCCAGGATTCTATCAAACTGTCCGCACTGAGGATTAGAGCATCCTCAATGTCTTCTACTGAATTTATAGAATCATCATCATCTCCAGATTTGTGATTCTGCTTCCTCTTTGGTCTTGTACAACCTGTCCGAAAGTAACCTTTTTCTCCACAATTCCAACACGTTACGTTTGGTCTATTTGAAGATTTTTCTCGGTTCTTTTATTTTGATTGCGCTTTGTTTGGCCCTTCGGTTTACTTCTTCCCCTTCGATCAACACTGAGAGAAAGTACATCTCAAAGCTCTACCGGACGAGATATATATATGGTTTCGTTTACTATATATAGCTTTACCAGATTTAGCCATCTACTATATATAGCTATTTACTATATATAGCTTTACCCGATTTAACCATCTACTATACATAACTATTTACTATATATAGCTTTACCGGATATAGCTTTACCAAATATAGCTTTACCAAATATAGCTTTACCGTATATAACCATTGACCAAGCTATAAATAAGCATCAGGCTCCATAATCTAACAACTAGTTCTAGCGGGTGTCCGGCCTAAGGGGCTCCTAGAGTATACCCACCGGATAAGGAAAGTGGCCCAGCGGTGTGCGAACTAGCTGGTGAGCCCATACTCGCACGTATGGGCTGTGTGTAGAGTATATGGTACACGTCCAAAATATCCGTTAAGACAGCACCGTAGGGAAAACGAAACGAAATGAAAGATAAGCCCATCATTTCATTGCATGTGATTGTTGCATTTAACCCCAATAGTGGGGTCACTTACCAAGTATTTCTTTAAATACTCAAACAATGTGCTACTACATTTTTCAGGTTAAGGCAAGACATTCATGTATAGTTGACGACGACATCGCAACTCGAGACCAGTGCACATGCATAGAATAGTGGTATTTATTTTCTTCGGTTTAGGCTAGAGTAGAATGTTTTAAACTTAAATGCATATTTATTTTATTTCGTGTCTTTTGTCGCGTCGTTTTAAAGATGTTTTCAAAACACACAAGTCCATGGCTGTGTTTTAAGATAAAGGATATGTTTTATGGAATTTAAATGAAATTTTCCGCATTCAATGTTTATGGTACGTATACAATAGCGACCTTAAATTAAGTAGAAAATTTTGGGTTATTACAGATTCACACTCGCACGTGTGGGTCGTGGGTAAAGAAGTACTACACATCCAATTTGTTCGAGATTGGAGGTCACTCCTAGATGCGCTAGAGCTCGATCCCAAGAGCATGTTGCATGTGTTTGCCTCAGCATGACCCCTATACTGGGTGACTTACTGAGTATTTTTCGAAATACTCAGGCCGTGTGCCACATATCATATTTCAGGCAAAGACAACACGCCCATGTACGGACGACGACGACATCGAAAATAGATACTGTGGCACGTGCATAGGGTAGTTGCATGTTTAAATTCTTAGTCTTAGGTCAGTATAGAATGCTTTTATTTCATTATTTAAATTATTTCATTTTTAATTGTCTTTTTTTTTTAATTTTAAATTCCAACGTTATGTTTTGAAACACGTAAGACCAAAAATGTGTTCTGAATGTGTGTTAAATTTTTCGTTATTTATGATGAGTATCTAAGAGCTATATTCCGCATTTAAGAGACAAGCATGAGACTTAGTAGCGACTCTGAGTATGTAGAAATTTAGGATCGATACATAAAACATTAACTTGAGACTAAAGGAGAAGCTAAACCTTAATGGGAATGAGTGAATAAAAAATAAAATACGAGAAACACACAAACGAATCAAATAAGTTAACAAATCAAAATTTGTTACCCAGGCAGTGTTAGAAAGCCATGGCAACCACAATAAAATAATTATTTTCCCACTTGTCTAAAAATAATTTGTTACCCATTATTGTGCTAAAAATAATTTCTAGATTATCATCTATTACCCACTTGTCTTAAAGGGCTTCTATCAAATATTATTTTCCAACCATACATACCACAGTAATTTCTTTTAAAAATATTTGATATCTTATTATCAAATATCACTTGGTCTATTTTGCAGACCATTTGACATTTTTATAATATTTTAGAAATAGACAAGCTAATTGAAAAAGTTGGGTGTTTTTTATCCAGCAATTTACAAGGAATTTTTGTCTTAAAATACAACAAATTCCCAAACCTCATCTATAAAAACCCTAACCCTTCTCATAATTCTTCACAAGCCATCGCACAAACCTACAAACCCTTCAATATCTCTCCACCAATGGCTTCCAAGCTCTCTTCACCCATTGCCCTCCTCCTCCTCGTCAACCTCCTCTTCTTTACTATGGTCAGCTCCACGTATGTCCCTTGCCCACCGCCGCCACCCAAGCCCCACAAGCCCACCCCTTCAAGGAAGCCACCATCACTCCTCAAGTTCTCCAAGGACACCCTAAAGCTCGGCGTCTGCGCCGACTTGCTAGACGGTCTAGTGCACGTAGTGATCGGTTCACCACCAAAATCCCCATGTTGCACCCTAATCCAAGGCCTTGTTGACCTGGAAGCTGCTGTGTGCCTTGCGGTGAAGGCCAAAGCCTTAGGTCTTCAGATTGACCTCTTAGTTTCCCTCAGCTTGCTTTTGAACTACTGTGGAAAGAAGGTTCCGTCAGGCTTCCAATGCCCTACTTGAAACCAAATCCTTTCATTTCCCTTTCTGGTTTCTTCTTCAATTTTCCATTTCAATATCGTGTTTAAATAATCAGTTTGGTCGTACGTCGTGTTATGATGGGTTTGGAAATCTTCTCAGAATTCCACCATCTTTTTATAGTTTCATTACAATGCAATGACGATGTATATGTTTGTCTGTTCTCTTGTGTCTTATTACAAATTTGACGATACATATGTTTGAAACCTCAAATCTTGTTTCACCTGTGTTACTTGTATGAAATCATAAAAAACCTTTAACTTCAAATTTTTCATGACGGAATATTAAAGAGAGTAATATTAACACTCAAGTTTTACATGACGATGTTAACGAAAAATATAGAGACCTCAATTTAATGAAAATATGGATGTCAATGTAACAGCCCAAGTACGCGGCTAGTAGATATTACCTGTTTTGACTCGTTATGTATCGTCGTCAGCCTTACAGTTTTAAAACATGTTTGTTAGGGAGAGGTTTTCACATTCCTATAAAGAATGCTTCGTTCTCCTCTCCAATTGACGTGGGATCTCACAATCCACCCCCTTGGGGGCCAGCGTCTTTGTTGGCACACCGCTCGGTGTCTGGCACTGATACCATTTGTAATAGAATAAGCTCCCGTTAGCAGGGATATCTACTTTGGCCCATTACGTATCGCCGTCAGTCTCACTGTTTTAAAATGTGTCTGTGAGACATGTTTCTGATGGTGTTAATATAACACATGCGGAAGCAATTTGGATCTTAGGCACTTTTAGAACATCAATTATTGTAAATAACTAGCATTTTCATAAGTATTAAAACTTAATGAGTTTAAATACTAACCTCTTGTAGTTCAAACTCCTTTTGCCTCACGAACCGGTTTCGAACCACCACTAGTGTCTTCTCCACTATCCTCCGGCCTTAGAACGGGATTGTGGAATCCGGTGAGTGACTAAACTTGGGAGGGATTTTGTATATGTGAAGAGAGTGTTTGTGAGAGGTTTTTCTCAAGGTTTTTCACCAAGATAAAGAAGACCTTCTATGTATCATGATCACTCTATTTAAAGAGTCATGTTTGCATGTTCATGCAAACTTGAGATCACCAAATTTTGACACTTAAAATTCCACTCAAATGTTTGGGGTTGGGATTATGTGGCAAGCATGCATGTTTGAGTTAACCAAATTTTGACACTCAAAATTCCACTCAAACTTGTGGGGTTTATTTGGCAAACATGCAAGTTTGGTTAAACCAAATTTTGACACCTCAAAATTCCACTAACATGGATTTTTCCATTACATGAAAGTCAACATTTTGACTTTCTTCATATTAATTCAACAATTAATTTGAATAATGAATTTCAAATTAAAGTAATATTAAATGATTAATTAAACTATTTAATTAATATTTATTACTAATTCAAATGCCAATCCCAATCAATTTCGACACATAATTGATTAAGATATTTAAATCTTATTTAAATATCTCAGATTCTCTCTTTTTGTTTAATTCGTAAATAAAACAAAATTGCGGTTAAATATATCGTATATATGTAACGCATATTCCCTAATTTGAATTCGAACACTTCGAACTCACTCGTCACACTGTTCTATGGTTTAGTCCGATATGAGCTAGCAGAGGGACCTAATGGACCTATAGATCATGGGCTCCAACGATCCAAGATTAACCGGTTAAACTCATTAACCTAGGTAACCAACATTCGTTAACTACTAAGGCACTCCACTATAGCCTAGTAGTTGCACTCCCCTCACTATAGATATATTTCTGTCCATCTGATATAACCATGATTAGTAAGTCGATCCTTCACAGGTTGTTCGTAACTAGAGCTGGGTCAATTTACCGTTTTACCCCTGAAGTTACTTCTTGTTCCTTATGTCTCACTGATCCTCTAATGAACAATTGGTTTGTGGTCTAACCAGTAAACCGAATCCCTCTCAGGCCAATGAGAGGGTGGGGCCCCTTGTTCAAGACCTGGAGTCAGTGCTTAAGGGAACTACCTTTCTTCTATCCCTAAAAGTGGGTAGGAGTGAATTCCGTCTTGCATCTTTCCCCTGAAATGGGAGGCCTGTTGAGTCGGCGAACTAGAGCCACTCTCACCAATGCAAATCTAAGGTTAATTTCGAATAAACAGGAGTTCATGGTTAGCTCAGGATTAAAACCGAGTTACCTAGGTTATCAAATGAAAAGAAAATCAATCTCAACAGTAAACGACATTATAAAGTGAGAGTGGTTTTCTTCATGGTCCGATCTTATACAATACTCATTGCATAGGACACCCCCACTCACATGTCTCCACATGTACAATTTAGTGATCACATTGTTTATATCATATACAAAAGTGGGCCGCATCCATAGTGTCCCCAGAATAAGGTACTCAACCTTATCCTTATACTATAGATCATTTTGACTATATACTTGAACTTGATCCACTCTTATGTCTCTACATATAGTTCAAGTAATCATACTATAGCCAGAGTGTTCTTAGTTTATTGGATTTAGATTAATGATTGTAAAGTTCACTTTATACAATAACAATTTTTACTGAATAAACATCAATAATAACTTTATTGAGAATAGAATATATCTTTGTTTACAAACTATGAGTTTTAGGACATAAAACCCAACAGTTTCCATATTATTTTAAGAAGTGTTTCGTTCTCTTTTCCAACCCGACGTGATATGTCGTAGTGTATGGGAACTTTTGAAAAATTTATAAGAATATTTAAACCGTCGTATAAGAATTTACTATTTTAAACGAGGAAGAGGATTATTATTAATATGATGTGTTGATATTTTTATTAAATATAAGGTCAATTTTTATACAATACATTAAAAAGTGGATTTGGTTGACAATATTAAATATGGACATTTTAATGAAAAAAAGAATATAATGGTCCTTGTCAATACTCTCTGTCACGGTCAATGAAAAGCAAATTGTAGAGATAATTCCTACATTTTTCTTTTTCTTTTCTTTATTTCTTTATTTAATTATTTATAGATCCAACTTTAATTTTAATTTTGAAAAAGATGATGAATAATTCCTGGTTCACTAAGTTCGGCAATTAATTTTTTTTTTCTAATAATTATTCATTACAACCTTTTCATAATTTTTGAATTGTTAAACTTTAAAATTCATATTAATTACATCATCATATGTCTCTTTTATCTCGAGTTAATAATATGTATTTTAATATATTTAAAATCGTAAAATAGGTTTTTTTTTACTAATTTAATTTATTATTATTATTTTTTTATATATTTTTTTTTTCAAAATTATCTATTGACATTGACATTGCCATAAAATGGAGAATTCCATATTTTTTTTTGTCAACATTAACATTTTAAACATTAATGTTAAGTAACTAATTTTAACATCTAACAAAAGGGCTATAACTTGAATAGAAAATGCAACTATCATAACTTCCTTCTCATAGCCTACATAGTGACACTACATGGTTGTCTTACCTTCACCTGAAAAAAATAGCACTTGGTTTGATAATTTAAAAAGTACTCAGTAAATAATCACACTGTTGCGGTCGGAAAATGCAAATACATGCAACGATCTCTACTTTTCAGTCTGGATAGAGTTGAATGTGTAATATTTCTCTACACATGCACACATAGATTCACCTAGCAGACTCGTATACGTATCCTCTAAGTCTACTTGTTGGGCTAGCTTGCCCTCACGTTGGCAGAAGCTATGGAGGGAAAGGAGCGTGCATAATATCACGACAGACATGATATCGTAGTTTATGTAGTGTAATATATGGAGGTTCGTGCATCATGCAATATTAATATCACAACATAGTTCCATAACATGACATAATCATATTATAGTACATCTTGTATCATTGCATAAACATAACATAACATAAAACACATCAAACAATCATGAAAAATTCGTTATTCATACATCATACAGGTCATCCAACCAAGCCAACATTAAAGCCACTTCGTAGGCGAAGTTATTAACGTATGAAAAATTAGAGTATCTTTGTTTAAGACCTACCTTGATCTACACCAATGTGAGGATTGTTGAACTATTCTTAGATATATTTATATTTCAAGTCTCTCCTTGGTCGGCTAGAGTTGAAGCCTCGAGAAAAATAGACCAATAAATAGTTTATACTCGCAGCGGTGCTCCATACATTAAACCTATGATAATTAGCCAAGCTATCAAGTTTGAATAGTACATGACACTATGGGGTTCCGCTGACTTCCAGATGTCGTTACAAATTAGCTTGATTAGAGGGTCCAAGCAAGCGCTCGAAGGATTTTGTAATAGCCCAAAAATAAATAAAGAAAAAAAGAAATAAATAATAATTATAAATAAATAAACAAAATAAAACAACATTTCCCCACTTCTCTCTGCTAACCTCTCATCCCTTCCCACAATTATAATTCCTTAACCCATCCTTAAGCCACAAAGCAACAGTTACTCCAAAAAAAAAAAACAACAGAAAAATAATAATAGTCAGATTTACTTGACCAAAAAAAAAAAGAGAGAGAGAGAGTTGTAATTCACGGGGAGATTTACGTGAAGATAGATCTGATCAATAAGGTATATATTAAATCTTCATTTTCTTTTATCCTATTGTTTTTTTAGAAATCACAGCCAATTATAGTTAGATCTTCGAATTCTTACAATGGTTTAGCTTTGAGTTCGAAACTAAATGTCAATCATTTATATGAATTCTAGCAAATCACATCACATTTGTTACAACGACTTAAGCTAGCCAGGTAAGTGACTTTACTATCTGCATGGTTATATTTGTTGTTGACACGTGCCCCGTGGTTCTGCACGTGTCATATATATTGATATGTATGAATTGTCTGTGGATCGATATTTGTTATGTATATTTTATAATACGTGAATTGTTTGATAATAATTACGGTACGATGTGTTCAATGATAAGCTTGAGATAGGATACGAGAAGGATATACAAAACGAAATTTAACGATAGGAGTAAAATACATTCATGAAACATTA